CTACATCCAGTTGCATTCAAAAGATAGGTTTGAGAAGGCCTGTATTTAGAAATAAAAGTGATTGATACCTTTTGCACTGCAAAGGGATCCCTCTGTTCATTGTCCAGATATTTCTCTAAATTAAAGAAGGTGTTGTAGAATACATGAGCCATTCTGCACCTCTTCAGGTCTCGCAGGGTTACTCTTCCTGCAGAAGAAAAATCCACAGTATTGTGCTGAGTTCTTAGTGAGAGACTGGACCTGTTCCTTGTCAGTCTTATCAAAGTTTTAATTATAACACCAGCGTGCTGCAGTATTACAGGACATCTTCCCAAATCAGTCAAGGATTTTAACATTATTCAACAAATGGGTACCTCTATTAGCCTTAAATCTTACAGACATATGGAAATCTTTCACATTCATGTGAAATATGAAAAAATGTGGATGGGGATGGTCCAGTTTCATAATCTAGACTGTCAGCACATCCCACAGCTGGAATATACAAGACCTGTTGCTCCAGTTCCAGCAAGTTAATTCACAAGGTCTCTTGTTTTAGTGTTTCAAACCTCCTGATGCATAACATTATGGCACAATAGCCACTGTTCAGACTTTTACAGTAATTTTGCAGTAATTTCAGCCCTGTAGTTCTAACACAAGGCTCTACCTATAGATGGGTTTCACAGTGACATTACTTTCTCAATCCACCATAGATCAAAAAGGATGGAAACTCACATTAAACAGGACTTACCTTCCCTCTCTGGCTTAACGAGATCAAGCATCTGACACAACAAGTCATGAAATGGCAGTGGTTCTATGCCCATCACTTCCATCCGCTCACACTGCTCCTCATAAAAGTACTCCAGTTCATACATGGAAAGCACTCCATCCCCATCCAGGTCCATGCACCGAAACCAGTACTCAATGCTAGGAAAAAGAGACAGGACTAGTGAAAACACAGCACTACACTAGGAAATCCATACAGCGGAGATTGCAGCAATGCACATTCCCCTTCCCCTATCCTCTAATGCTCTTCTGCCCAATGGCTGGCATAAAAGCAGGGATGAAAATACCCTTTGGGAAGGATCAGGGCATAGGCTAGTGCCTCCTGATAGCCTCCTAGGTGGCTTGTGAGCACAGCCATGCTCAGCAAGTGTCCGCTGTGCTGCAGCTTAACTGGCTCATGTAGGTTAGAGTATCCCCGTCTAATTCAGCAGCCAATGTTGGCCAAATGCAACTAACTCTGAAGCCAGGACACTGGCTATCCCTGAGTGACCCTGGTGAGTGATGAGGCAGGCATGGTATGCACTTATTTCCTCTACTCCTTTATACAGAAGGCAATGCTTTCAGGCAGTTACAGTCTACCACCATGCCTTCACCTCTGGATAGTCCAACCCTGGATTTATGAATTCTTCTTCTCATTTTTACTGATAAGGTTCCTTGTCCTAATAATCACATGCAGATCTGGTTCAGCTCTGCACAACTGTCTCCCACTGGCTGTACAAACCAGACACATGGGCAGGGTTTACAAAGTGACAGTGTGCAGTTTCCCTACAAACCCTTCTTATGCACGTGCTACATGCATGAAGGGAACATGCCTATCTGCTGCAAACATCTCATGGGTTTACTCCCAGAGCCAGTGCTCCACGGCATGGAGTAACCAAAGGCATTGATGACTACCAAGGCATTTAACAGTACAAGAAAACTCTGCTTCTACACAATTTCTCCTCAAGAAAGGCAAATGATTTGACCAAATGTTGACAGTAAGTTGCTTGCTTCCTAATAATCACTGGAACCCAAGCTGCCATCTCCTGTAGAAAGTGGTAGGTCACAGAAGTTTCTATAATCTTATCTGCTCATCTCAGTACTTTTACTAAGACACAGAAATCAGTCAGACCTTGTAGCACTCCTTTTATCTTCCTCTGAAATCAGGAGCCACACAAAATCGGCATAACTCATGCGGCCTTCCTTTTGAACTTCATTGCCTCTGGAAGACATGAGAGAAAAAAAACAAACCAAAACAAACAAACAAACAAAACCCACCAGGCTCCTAAACACTCAGAATGTTATCAAACTTATTTTTCAAAAGCCCCAAATCATTGGTGAGGGAAAATGGGGCATTGTCACCCATTTAGCCCTGCGCTCCCCAGCACCAGTCCTTGTGCCCTTCCCCACAGTCACAGCATTTGCTGCCTTGCTGTCACTGAACAGCTGAGACTGTTGTGGTTTAACCCCAGCCAAAACCAGGACAGAGGCTCATCTACCACATCTCCTCCCACAACAAGCGCTGGGCTGGTTTACTTTTCAGAGACTTTAAAGCAGTGCTCTCCAGCTATCCCTGTGCCACTGTGGGGCACAAACACATAGTGCTTGCATGTTCCCTGCGGCTATGCCCAGCTTGTTCTACAATGAGGTCTACAGGTGGTCATTCTATGGGATTTTTTAATTTGTTTTCTTAAGATACCCAGAAGTCTCACTCCATTTTCAGGCAGCTCCAACTGGAGCACCATGTTGGAAACCATTCTGATCAGTGGGGATTTCTGAGAGTATCTTGCATTTCTAATCAGCCTGACAGAAATTCCCTTCACTTCTATCCCCAACCAGTATGCTATTCCTCACCTCACCACAGCACCGCTGAATATTCGCTCAATAATCCTGTTTGATAAAGCTGGAAACAAAGAAGATACAGAGAAAATGAAGCTACAGGTCACAGGAATAACTACAATCAGTTGTTTATAATGAATCCACACAAAACCATTTCCCATTGTTAAAAGAACGCTCTATCTGCATTGCCTGTCTAACCACTTTACTGGTCTCTGTTTAGCAGCATTTTGTAAAAAAACAAAGACGATTCTCCTGGTGTGTCTGCCTTTGTATCCTCCCAAACACCATACTTCCCCACAAATATGGCAACTATGTGTTATCTGGATTCTTGACATGGGCAGTGTTACTCCTACTTTGCCGAAGTAGAATTTGTCACATAAGCAAATCCTGCTGATAGTGTGCATTGGAAAAGAAGTTCAGTTATCAAGCAAAAAATCACACATAAATCTCTACAAAACACTTTTTAGCAGAGCACAAGCTGTGGCAATCCTGCTGCAGGGAAGGACAATGAAAAACGAGCATCATTTTAGGTGAGTGGGAAGGCTGTGCCAGCCAGGAAATGTGTGGGATGGATTGTTATGGCAGAGACACACCAGCCAAGCAGCAAGTACCAGTCTTGAGCAGGATTTGCACACTGACCTCACCCTCCCAGACTGCTGACACACTTCCTTTAGACCCCCACCTTAGCTCCCTCTACATGTTCTCCATCTCTTCCTGGCACATTTCCAACACACCAGCCAGGCAGACCCAACCTGCGCCACCCCTCAAATCCCCCTGGCACAGGGCTGACAGGCTGCTGTACCACTGCACTGATGGCTTCTGCCCTTCACTCTGCCCACAGCACCCCTTCTATCTTTAGCTCCCCCAGCACCCAGGGCTCTCAAGCCTCCTGAGCTCTTAAGGCTCCTCAATACTCCATCCCCACACTCCAGCCTATCACCTATCCCAAGTCAGGCACTCCTCCATCCTCACCCTATCCAGCCCCATTGTCAACACTCCTGACTCCTATGACTGCCACACTCACCCAGAACCCCCATGGCCTTCCCATAAATGCCTGCACTGGGAACATGTGGACCACCACACCATGCTGACACACACACGCATACCTACAGCACTGTCATTCTCACACCCCTTTTCTTCTTTCTTACTTCAGCCCACTAGGATCTTGGCTCCTATAAAATGTTGTCCGCATCCCCAGAGCACCAGCAATGCATGTCACACCTCCAGATCCCTGTAGCCCTACACACTACAACACCTTACCACATACTTCACCTTTCCTGCCACCTCCAGTCACACGTTTCCCATCCCATTTCCCCAGATCTGATTCTCTCTCCCAGACCTACTTTCCCAAAAAGTGCAGCAACCACACAGAAGAATCCAAGAAGGCTTTGTCTTCAGGATTAAACATGCTGGTCAATAGCTCAAGCTCTTGTCCAAGACATTACCATCATGAGTCCTAACAGGTAAGCACATGGGCATATCATGCTCTCAGAACATGGATAATCCTAAAAACAGCCAACCTGAGTCAGCTAGAACAACGCATACAGAACTTTGGATTTTTTAGCCCTTTGTGGATTTGTATTCCATTAACTTATCCATGGCCCTTGAACCTTTGAAAACTCATAGCATCTGCTCAGCTTGTGGTAAGGAGTTCCACACTGAACTCAAGAGATATTCTTCAGAGTGCATCTGCAAACTGAAATTCACCAAGTTTCACTGGATTCTAGAATTTCTCTCATGCATAACAAGATTGCACTTCAGCAATCTTTGAAGTTCACATGGACTTGTCCTTCTTGTCCCTTCTTTCAAGCTCCTGCAAAACCCTTAGTAAATAATAAGCAGGTTTCAAGACATTACTTTAGCTTGTCCTTCTGGCAGTGACCCACATGTGAACAGAAGCTCCCTCTCTAGCTACTCATGCAGAAAATAGTGTGTACTGCATTTCTCTGTGTCTAAGCCCCTACAACTGGCTCTGTAAATCAGCATTAGTGTAAGAGATGGATGGCTCCATTTAAATTTTTTTAGAGGCATCAAATTAACCAAATCAAAGCTAGGCTTTACTCTTTAGTGGAAACATTCTATTTTCAGCAATCCCCTTTGTCCCACCACAGCTTGCAGGCAGCATACCTTGATCACTGTACCTAGCCAGATCCTTCTGGCTGATGTAAAGATCATGATCAGTGTCCAGCTCCCAGAATTTACAGTATATAACATAGAAGTGCTCATAGGAGAAATAATCTGTGATCTGATTTATGTCATCCTCTTCTTCCAAGAGAGCAAGAGTCTGAAAGAGTACAATAAAGTGGGAAGTTAAACCTAGACAAAGAGGCAGTTCAGCAGCTGAAGTCCTCCAAACTCTGTGGAAGTTGAGCGAACACAGCTCTGAGAGCTAATCCAAAATGCAACCTTTCTCCCCTGTAGGAGATTTTGTTGCTGCGTTCCTTAACAGGCACTTATAGGGCATCTGGCTTGGCTATCCTGGTTAGCATATGTATGCACAATATTTCTGCCACTCCTGTGAAAAATTTCTGCTAATTTTCAGCTATAGTGAAGAGTGAGATGGAGAAACAAGAACACAACTGCTGTCTCAGCTAGGATCCATTATTTGTGGAACATTTCTGACCTGCACCAGAGACTCTTAGAGCCATTTACCAACAGCAGTCCACAGTTCTCCACAGGAACTGAGATCTATCTTTACACATCACACATCCTTGCCTGGCTTCCCAAAGGCAAAATCAAGCCTTGCTCCAGACTCATGCCTGGACTGGGGAAGGAGGGATGGATCCCAAGCAGATCAAACCAATCACACTGATTTTCCTGGGCTGTCGCCGACAGGAATTAGTCTGGTTTAACTGGGAGGCTTAGACAGATTTCAAACCATGACATCTGTTATCATGTCTTGTTACAAAACACTTAGTGACAATGCCCTTGTTTCATTCCCACTTCACACCTAACCTCTGTCCTTCCCTCCACTCCACCTTCCCACCGACAGAAGGATATTACTGCATGTTTACCAGTGCCACCTCCCTACTTGCCTTTCTCCTAGTGCTGAGGCCACAGGACACCAGACAGCCTTTTCAGTCTAATAAATTATGGCTGCAGGAATGTGAAAAGGCTAACAGACTCAACTGAGCTATAGGTCTGTCCTCCCCTGCCCTCACAGCCTCTCAGAAGGGAGGAGGTGAAACACAGCCTAAGAGCTACCCCAGGGAGTTGTGTCTAAGCAGGCAGGCTTAGTGGCCCTTCTATCCATAACCATAAAAACAGATACTGTGCCACATGTAGGCACTGATAGTTCAACGTCAACTTTCAGTCATCTCCACAACCAAAGAACCCAACTGAGTCTCAAAACTCTCATATCCTGCTATCCACCAGGTTCAGTAAAGTTTCAGGCAGGGACAACAGGACAGCACTGCCAGACCTGCACTATTCTGACTTGCTGACACTCAAGTCTAAAAACCTCTGATCAATCACTCACTAGCCTCTTCAGATTCTTCATGGGTGTCTCCATTTCTTTGCAGATGATAATCACTTGGGTAGGTTTTTCAGTAACTGTTTTTTTTTTCTTTCACAGCTCATGCCAAAATACGCCATTTACACATGCAGCAAAGAGCTGCCCAAGTGAAATTATGGTCCCAGAGCTAAACTTCCCTGCTGCAGAAAATGAAAGGCAGAGTAGATATGCAAGGAGAAAAAGGGGAGGAGTATATAAAGGGAGAAAATGAGTGAATAAAGATGCAGGATAAGTTGGGAGGATTTGTTTATAACGGAGGTTAGGGAGGAACTGGGATGAGACAATCCAAGGGAGCACTGATTTTTTTGTTAGCTGATGTGGGGGCAGTGGGGCAGAAGATCTCTGAAAGGAGGAGGAGTGTGAATTCATGCTTGAGGCTTTTAAGGAAGACAGCACACTACATCTGGAATGGAGAGCAGGATGCAGTAGGGAAGTCTCACTGCTTTAGCTGAATCCTTAACCTTTCAGCCTAAAGACTTTCTGGCGTTTTAGGTTGGGCTGGAGTTGAGCAGCCTTAGACAGTTTTAACCTCGTGCTCTTTTGGGCAAAATATACAGAGAACAGAGATCCAAATCCTGACACCTCTGCCCAACATAAGAATACATCACACAGATTATAACAAGAACTAAGCTTCATTCATTAACCTTTCTGAAGAAGTCACTGCAGAAGTGGAAATCAGCTCCCAAGATGCATGGTCTTGCAATTGCACAGCACAACATGCCTGACCAACTGTCAGTTGGGCTGATTGCTGTTTGGGAGTCAGGAAATTGGCTGTTCTGCCCACCATGTATTGTAGGCAATCCAGCAGGTATCCTTGGCTGCTCAGTAAGCTGCTTAACATAGGTGCACTGCTGCATCTTGCTTTCCTCCCTCTTTGGCTAGATCAGGAGCCAAGAGCCAATCTGCCTGATGCAGCTTCAGAGCAGGTGCACAGTCACCCCTTGACCTTCTACCAGTGCACTCTTGGCTACTCCAGTCCCTGGTCTTCTCTCATCTTAACTCAGACACAACTCCTCCACTAGCTCCAACACTCTCCTGGCACTGAACATTTGGCCTACCTCACTACAAACCATGCACAGCTCCCTCACTATATAGTACACTGCTATAGGAACAAAGGTATGATGCATTCTATATCTTGTTCAGGCAGAAACCAACATACTTGCAAGAAGTTGCTTTTCCTCAGCTCTGTTAGAGTGATCTTCCCAGACCAGGATCGATTGACTGTGTAGAATATTCTCTGTATAACCTGTAACACATGAATAGCGCTCTTGAAATCAACTCCTGAAATATACCAGTTTGGGAATTTACATGCAGTAACTTTATTTTGTTTATTCACTCATCCGCAGGGGACTTATTTTCGAAAACTGTTTTGTGATCTTTTTTGTAGATATTACTATCCTTAATTCATTATGCAGTCAGAAAGTAACATTTGTTTCTGAAACAGTATCATCCATTTCCACTCTGCAAATATTTTCACTGCTCTTAATTCACATCTTTGAGCATGCAGGCACATTATTTGTCAGGGAATATGTTCAAAGTGCTGATGAATCATTTTGAAACTAAGTTTTTCAGGTTTTAGGCACTGTAGCTTGTATGGATCTCAAGTGAAATAGTGTTCCACACCAGAAAAAAAAAAAAAAAATCAGGAGTTTTGAAGAGGAAACAGGATATGTAAATGAAAGCCACAACTGATGTCTGACCTATTATGTCGATAACAATGCCTCATCCTCTTGGTGGCTCCACTGAAAGCAAGCAATAGAGATTATCTGTCTGCATTTATCTTAGGTAGGTGTTAATCTCATTTGTCTCCTTTACTGATCTGCCTCTGGTGAAAGTGAGCAAAAAGCATGAGGGGGAATGCACAGACCTCTGAGAACACAAGAGAAACAGTTCACAGTATGAGACCGAGTACACTCCCAAGTACCTAAAAAAGGCAAGATGAACCCTTCCTAGTCTGCTCCTTGTTAGCTTGTCAAATATCATCACAAAGTGGAGAAAAAGCAAAAGTGTGATCAAGCACATGGAAGAATAAACTCAACAGGGGAAACAACAATAAACAAATATCTTCAACAGGAGAAATTAGAAATATAATTAATTTGACTATCTGCACTGAAATCTATGGAATTCTAATTCATGACAACCAAACCTAATACACACAAACCTTTGACGTCTCTGACATCATGTTGACATATTATCCTAGAATTTTGGTAAGCCTTAATAGTGCATGCTATTCCAACACGCAAATTAACTTTACACAACAATATGGACATTATAGGGATTAATTCAGTTAACAAATTTGATGGGATGGGTTTGCTTCTGAGCTAGAACTAGCTTTGAGTGGGTGATTGCCATTTAAGGGCCATGCTTTGACTCAATCACACAAGCACTGGTCCAGAACAGCTCTGGAACCAAGTATGAGATTGTTGCTAACAGTCTGCTTTGGGATACACAGTTCAGTGAGACAGTAAATGCTGATGAACACAAGTAATTTTGAGAGCAACAAGAATGATTTGAGGACTCAAAATGTATCCTGAAGAGAGAGAACTAATATATTCAACATTTCCTGGTCCTTAAAAGCCTACATGGGGAGATGTGGGACAGGCAGAAGGACTTTTTGTCTCTCATGAAATATATAACTAGAAGCTGAAATCAGCCTAATTCAGACAGATAAGAATGCACTTCTTTTACACTGCCCTTGATTAACCAGTGGAACAACTCACAGAGAAACACTGCAGGCTCTTTATCACTCCAGACTTCAAAGATGGATGTCCTTCTGAAGTTGAGTGCCAATTCAATTAAAAACAAAAAAATATCCATCCTAACTATAGCAATCACTGAGCAATGTTCTATGGCCTGTGTATGCAAGAGGTCAGACTAGGTAATCACAGTGATCTTTTCTGGTCTTAAGCACAATCAAAAAGCTGTATGTTTGTTTCTTCTTTAATGCCTCTGGCAGCCGCTGCCATTTTGGGCTGTATTTTTGGACTTTGTTTGGCCTTTGCTTCCAGATTGCACAACAGCTCAGAGGCTGAAGTGGGTCTCACCTCATACATAACCCATTATCACACCTGACAACTCTGTAGCAATTCTTAAAGATACAGGGTTTTCAGACCATTCCAAGGACTCAAAAGTAACAACCCCAAGAATCAGAAAAAGGACCCGAAACCAGCAATCATCTTCTTTTCCTCTGCCTGCAGGGTAATAAAAGACAACAAAATATCCCTGTTTGTGGCATGTTAGAAACTGGTCCTCTATCAGACCATATTGATAAAAATGTTCCATCTGTTCTGTCCTCACTTAGCTGTAAAAATAAGGCATTCAGAGGTAAAAAGGGATCTCTCAATCTCTTTTACCATGTCCAGTCACTCAGTGCAGGCTTTATTATTCAAATAATGGTCCAGTTTCAATGGATAGTACATAGTGTATATAACAGTATAAAATGTCAACACTTGCCTCTCTGTTTTCTGGGTTGTGAAAACCAAGCTGTCAAAAAAAGTTATTTGGGAAACATCCTAGAACATAAATACAAGATGATTTGTAGCATTCAAGCCACACTTGCCAGTTATGCCTTACTGAAAGCCATAACTGGCTTTGTTTTTCCCAGCATGGAAGATTATTTATTCTGAATTCAGTACATAAGCCTTTGGAAGGGAGAGCCCCTTCCTATTTGCCCAGCATCCTTATGTAATCTAGCTCCAGGACCCAAACCACTGATGGGTCAGTTCTAGACCTTTCCCCCATCTTCCCATAGGAGAACAAAAGCAATGCCATTTCTGGAAAAAACCACAAAGCTTTATTAAACCCTGTAGGCGATCCTCCCCTTACACATTCACATTGGTAATACTGCATAAGCTGAAGCATTTTTCAACAAGCAATATGTTTTGCCAAGTTGTTTTTAGTTGACTCAGCTTTTCAACAACAGCATGCAGTGCTAACTCTAAGCCTTGTTTGAACATTCTGGGAGACGTCACATTTTAAAGCTTTTACAATATATGCTACATGATATTCTGCATCATCTTCACCAGCTTCAGGAGTCAGTCTCTGTTGAAAGAAACACAAGTAGTTTAGTATACTGGCAATACAACAGCTCACAGATACTGATACAGATGAAATTACAGCCTATCCAAAAGTCACCTCTAAAAGGTGCAGAGGTAGGCAAAAAAAAAAAAAAAAAAAAAAAACCCAAAAAGGGGCAGAGGAGGGAAAAAAAAAAAAAAAAAAAAAAAGCATACACATCTTACCCATACTAGACTGTTAGCTTACTCTCCAGGTGATTTCAACCAAGTGATGCTGTATCCAGCAATGAACACAAAAGCCACTATCTCCTTATGGCCCTCATCTGTAACACAAAAATAAAATGTCATTCTTGCACTTGCAGCAAATACAGGACTCTGTCACTGTAAGTAGGTATAAGGCACTCTACCTTGAAGGGATCAAAAGGATCCAAGTAGTCTCAAAATCCAAGGACAAAGTGGTTTCCTTCATTACCTCCTGGAGGAAATACTGAATTTTGTGGCATTAAAGACAGAGAAGTGCCAAACTGTCTGTGAAAGGAGATGTGAGAAATAGGAACTCCTGGTATCAGAGGAGAGCCACTGCTGCAAGTGGGCCAAGTACTGCCACTCCAGATGGGAACAACCTGACCCAACAGACTGTCTGTCTCCCAAGGTCTCGACTCTGCTCCAACTCAGTGATCTGGCCAAGACCAAACATGCTGAGCTCAGAAGGAATCTGTCTGATGGCACAGACACCCAGACCAGCATTGTCCTGCCAGCAGGAGAGCCTGTGAAGGACATCGCAGCTTTGTAAAATTTGCTGCTACACACCATTCACCTCAGCCACAAGCACCACTGTTTCCTGGCTGCCTGGGAGCAAGCCTAGCAAGCCACCTCTGTCAGAGTATTGTGAGCAAGGGTGCCTAAAGGCTCAGACTGAAGTAGGAAAGCACAGTGGAGGCACGAGCAGAATCAAGAAGCACTGAGGAGCTTCATGTACTCATGAAGGGTCTGCTTCTGTGTCTGCTTTATGGTGGTCGCACAGGACCTCGCCCAGGCACAAGGGAAGTTGTGGAAAAGGAGAGAGGAAGGAAAAAGTGTTGCCTTTTTTAGTAGCAGCCTGCACTTCAGTTATCTTGAAGTGGAACCTCAGCTTCACAGAGCTGGTCTCAGACCAGAACATGCATTACACCCTGATGAGGTCCAGAAAGTGCAGCAATTGCTGCTTTGGGACACCAAGGGTGATCATTTGGGGGATTACTCTACAAAATACATTTGTTTCTTGCACTTATTCCCTCCTTTAGACCCTGAAAAATACAGGAACAGCATGTAACTTGAGAAGAGGATCCTGGAAAGGCAGATGAACAGAACTGCCTTTGTCACCACCCAGTCACGGATTGTATCTTGACCCGCTCACCAGCAAAGAACAACTGGTTGATATTGCAGTCAGAAACTGATGCTAGTGTGACCTTAAATCTTTCAGCTCTCACCTCTCCATGTACTTTAAACACCAAATACCAGGGTACATGTGCCACAGGCACCTTCCACACTCACTCATTCATGTGCCTCCATAATTCCCTGGCCACTGTTATACCTATTCTGTCCAGTTACTATGCTTAATGTATCTAGTCTTGCTCCACAGGGACTAAATATATTGATAATACACTGATGTTCACTGTCACGTTCAAGTGCATCTAGACATTTAAAATTGATTCTTGTTATACATTTTCATAAAACATTAGTGTGACAGTTCAGGGTTTGCCAGAGTAACAGTGTCTTTCTGCCATCTGTTCCTTACAGGAAAGGAACAAGCCTGTGTCTGCCAGTAATCTCCCAGCTGCCAGTATGTGGTGCAGCTGGCCCCCATGCAGACCCTGCCAAGCAAACAGGAGAAACTTTAAGCCCTTGAGCCCTGTTGGGATACAGCTCCCATCAGGTCTGTCATTATTTGAATTTGTTACCGCTGCAGAGATAAAACATCCTAAATATACTTTTTATCCAGATTCATACCCAACATGAGACAAGCTAAACGCTTAAAAAAAGTACAAACTTATTCAGGGAAAGCAACAGTCTAACTGCTGACTGCAAAGCTGGAACAAAGCTACAGTCCAAAACCCAACAACAGACAGCAGTCACAAAAGCTCAGAGACTCAGAAAGACTAGATAGGCTTTCTGGCAAGAGCAAGAGGTGGGGGAGCTGGACTGTAGACCCCTGTGTGCAATGGATGCTTTCTACCATGGAACAATCACAGATTCTCCATGCCTAAAGTGACAGAAATCTTCAAACTTACAACCTTCCATGTCTCAGCAGCCCAGCAGAATTAGGTGTAACTTAGCAGCTCTCAAAGACCAAAGAAGGACCTCTCATTTTCCATCATCAGGATTAAAGGTCAAAAAAGTTGTTTTTATAGATTTGCTTAAGACCAGAAAGAATCATTATTAACCTTTTGAATAACCTCTATGTACACAGAGGCAGATTCATTTTTCCTTTGGAAGTAGTTCTTAAAATAACTCATTGCCAGTAATATTAAAAACACCTATTTTTGGAAATAACTGAAGGATTTGCTGATGGGAACAGTGACAAATCACAAAGGGAGGACTGGTACAGCAGTATCAGAGGAGATCAAAGGAGCCAGCCTACCGTCGTAATATACCGGGAATGGAACTCCGGAGCATCCTTCAGGAACGTCAGGCCAGGATGTGTTTCCACCACATCCTGCAAGATAAGACCAAATGAAATGAAATAGATTTTCTTCTCCTTTTAATGTTTAGAAGTTACTGGGTTTACAAACCAATACTTTTGCTTACTTTTGAAACTGTATTTGAAGCATTAACAATAAAACTGAAATGACATCTTTTTATCTATAAAGTGAACCTTCTAGAAGTATAAGTAGAATGCATTTTCTGGGCAATACGCACCTGTTGGGCCATTTTGATTTACTTAAGGACAGAAAAACAAAGGAAGAGAGTTAGTGACTAGATGAAAACTCATTTTCATTGAATGAGACAAAAAAATTAGTTAGTTGACCATGCAACTATCTCCTCTCCAAGATCTTTTTTTCCTCCATTCACTGAGGATATTAACATCTATTAGAACTAGGTGTCAGAAATAAACATTCCTTGAAAGGTTGAGAAAGTTGCCTTTTATGTCCTCCACAAGAATGAAAGCTCTTGTGAGCCTCAGAACGCATACAGATATGATCAGTTCTTTTCCAAAATTTACTTGAACTGCCTGTGGAGATGCCTCTTTCTCAAGATGAGCTTTTTGTAAGCCAAACACTGGCTCATGATGCCAAATTTGCCAAGAAATGCATGACCAAAAACATGGAGAAACTGCTCAGATCCTGAATGAATCAGTTCAGATCCTGTATGAATCAATGTCTGTGTAATTTCTACATGTCTGACTCCTCTACCCTTTAAAAAAGCATTCAGAGTTTTGCTTTCTCTATACCATGACATGGCAAAGGGATAGAGCAGACATAGTGCCCTTAGGGGTGTTATATGACCAAATTTTGCCCAGTCTAACTTGATGCCTAATATGATGGTGTCATATGGTGTAATATTGCTCATTTCTGGTTGACTGACAAACAAGATTGTACATGCCTTTGATTGCACCCGTAGCTAAAAAGCACAGCTGCAATCAATCAGGAAAGGCAGTGTGCCCAGTGGAGAAAAGATGAAAAGGAACATGAGAAAATCTACCCATCACAGTCCCAGTTTTGTTTGAGGCACAGAAACACCCCGTGCAGACACAAAATCTTTCCCCAAAGCAGCATCTCCACAGAGGTTTTGCATAGAGGGCAACACAGTGTGAGAAATCTAGGGATCTGTGGAAAAGCTCAGAAAAAGTATCAACAGATGATCAGAGGAACAGATGGACCTGATTTATAGAGAAACTATAAAGAAATCCTAAACCTATCCAGAGCCTGCCTAAATGGCCACAAATAATTAAAGAATGATACTCTGCTTTGTTAAAAATATCACATGTGAATAAAAGGAAAGGAAATAAATGAAATCAGGATGCACATATTTAGCCTGAATATTAGGAAAAAAAAAAATCAGCAGTGAGACTTGTGCACTAGCAGGTTTAGAGGCATAAACAGAACAATCGGAACTGCAAAATTTTTTGCAAAGATTTCCACGTGATATTATATCTGGTAGTCTTGCTAGACAAATTAAATTATAATTGTCTTGTCAAGCAACTTTTACAACTTTTCTAATAAGCCTTTATGTTGTGCTTGAGTACCAACAGCACCATGCATTTTTCCCAATAACCACCTAGAGAGATGGGGCAAATTTCAGCCTGGTTACCAGGCACTGATAAATACGAATGCTAACAAGGGACAAGAGACTAAATAAAGTTTTGACAATCTTCAGCGACTTTAGCAAGATATGTAGCTGGTTGGTACTTATGCAAAATAGTCTCCTTAAAATGTTTATTTCTATTTCACTCCAAAACAAACTCTGCCCAGGTGCTGTTCAAAGGTCTGCATGTCCTTGGTAAACATTTAAAGACATGAAAATAAAGTTACAAAATAAACATAGCGCTCTCTCTCCCATCCATTCACTGCTGAGCTGTTGCAGGTACCTGAAGCAGTGGGATGAAGTCCTCCTGTTCTAGGTAGTCACAGCTAGGCTTCGCTAAAAGGTATGTGAATCTGGATGCATCATCATGGCAGTTACATAGGATTCTATGAGAGAGATGAAAAGTTACTCCAACAACTTTGTACCTCACAGGACAATCACAAACTACAGATGGATTATGAAGTGCCTTATCACATGTTACGCAATACATCTACACCATGAATTATGCAAAATTGACCTCAGATTACTAGCACCCATTTTCTTCAATATCTTTCAGCAGCACCACGGTACTACCACCCAGTGGAGCTTTTTCGTGTTAACATTGGTGTGGTAAACAAGGTTTCTTACTGAAGACTGTTCTTTCTTTGATTCCACAGCATCTTAGTAAGTAACCTGAATTTTCAAAATGCTGCAAGCTCACTGATCTCACTCGAAGTCAACAGAATCAACCTAATAAGATGCCATAACAGACATGTTCTCCAATTTAATCCTTTAATGTATTTCAATACTTGAGGATATTGCCAAACTACAGTGACTAAATTTTCAACCAGAAAAATCACTCCCCAGAAGAGAAAAGAAGAGCATCTCTTGTTAATTATGGCATAGCTGGCTGCTGTGCAATGAAGTCACAGAAAACAGCCTAATGAAAGAATTTGTAGGACTGAGTATTTAGAGAAGCATGTAAACTCATTCCTTAGGGTGATAGTTTGCATCTATGACACCAGTTCTTGTCTATGCTTTCTTCTAATACAAAATAGTCAAAGGTATCACAATTACTTAATTCACTCTGATCAGAAATACTCATGAAAACAGAAACTCCACGACATTTACCAAATCACTACTGAATACCTGTAACAGAAGAGAACATTCAGATATATCAAACACAAAGTTGTTCGTATAGTATAATAGAAACAATAAATCCCTTGGAAAATTGCCCTGTACTCTTTAATAACTGTGAAAATACAAATGCACTGTTCATTATTTACTATGAGTGATTATTCACCCGACTCCTCTCCTGAAAGTGTATGAACTTATATTGAAACATAGTACTGAAACGCCTATAGTTTTCCTGCAGAGATCACACTGTAACCGGCTTGATGCTAATTCTGGCCTCATCACTCTTTACCAAAAGCAGACTTTACAAAAAAAGGTTTTGTTTTGGTTTTTTTTAAATAAGTCTTCGGGGGTGGGAGGTAAGAGAAAGATTTAGTGGCTGATAAGCAATCCTGTTAGCTGCACATTCATATCATGCTAACTGTCCATTAACAGATATGTTCTAAATCAGCTGTAGAAAAGAGGTGTTAATGTTTTAGCTTTAAAAAAAAAAAAATATCAGGCACATAAAGATGAATCCCAAAGCCAAGTTTTAGTAACAAACTAAAAGATCTGATTTTCAGTAGTACTCCATACCCAGCAATTCCTATTGACTTCAAATGAGATCAGTGAGCATGTAGCATTTTGAAAAGTCAGGTCAGCTACTAAGATGCTTGAAAATAGGCTTCAGCAATTAAAGATAACTGTTTTCAAATTATGGCTGTGTTCAGATATCTGTAGTCTAACAGATATCTGTAGTCTAACTGTCCATGTTTCCAGAAAAAATTTTGCAACTGTCAGAGGGGAAGAGGAAGGGGGCAGGGGAAAAAAAAACCAAACACAAAATCTTTTAAAAAGAGCAATTAAAGTGAGAAAAGGATAGAATCATGTAATCGTTTAGGTTGGAAAAGACCTTTAAGATCATCCA